CAGCGCCGGGCCACGCCCACAGCGCGCGCGCGCGGCACCGCCCACGGGGGGCGTGGCCCGGCGCAGGGCTGTGTCAAAACCCGACTATGGCAAACCTGAGGGCCGGCGCCTTGAAAGTAAAACTACCAACGGCAACAAACACCGCTTCAGGATAGTCTGTTTTATTTTCATTCGGTCAAGAGACCTGCCATGCACCTTTCTAAAGCTAATAATCACGTGCCAAGCCAAAAGTAAAAATATTTTAACACATTACACGCATAAAAATATGGTCAAGTTTCTTCAAGCAAAAACTGAAAACACAACTGTCAATGCAAAACCAGATGTAGAATACTGCTTAGCTGACTATTCAATGGCATGAACTCAATGCTTCCACTTTACGTGCATTTTCCCTAGTGGTGTCATATTTTGCTACGTGGGACAGCACCTACACGTTGCGTCTAGGGCTGGATGCTCTGCTTCACTAATCAGCATATAGCACAGTCACAAGTGGCTGTTACAATCAAGAACTACAAACTTTTCACTGTTTAAAGTTATACACAATACTTTAATAAAAAAAGGTTAAAAAAAAAAAACCACCAAAGAGTGACTTAACTAACTTTTCCAGTCTGAGCTTTCCACCGGGGGCAGAGCAGGGTCATGCATCTTGTCTGAGCTCTGCAGACTGCTGGTGCCCAGGGAGGGAGGACAGACATGACAGGGCCTTGGTTTAAACCAAATTTTACAAAAAAGCTTATGTGGATATATGGATTATTCTTCTGGTGTTACTGCTGCCTTTCAGAGGGAGATGAGCACCCAGGACAGGACAGCTACGAAGCAGCTCTTCAGGTAGTTTCACCAGTTACGCTACCTGTTCAAACATTCATTGTGTGCCAAGAATTAAATTTCACTTCAAAGAGTTGCATGGCCACGTTCTGAGTCTCTTGAGAGAACAACAACTGCCAGAAAGGTTACATTTTCAAATTCCTAAAGTGAGATTAATATGCATTATGAAAGCAATCAAGTTTAGTACATTGATTACATACACTATATAAGATTAAACAGCATCTCTCCTGAATCACAGCAAATAGACATCATCTTCAAGCTGTAGAACAATTGCCTTCAAAGATGGATCTTCTGCCCAGTTAACTCTGCTTGCAATTATGATACTCTGTAAGAAGGAATTATTGGTTAAAAAAAGCCCTTAAAAAGGATTATTCCTAGTAAAACCTCTCAAAAGCTGTCCATTTTTTAATTTGGAAGCCCTTGAAATTCACAGCAGTGTTTGAAGTAGGCGGGATGAAGGGAAAGAGGAGGAAGGGAAGTATTGTTTTAGATCCTATTGTCAATACATAGGCAACAAAAACCCAAAAGCAGTGCTTTGAATTTCCTAGAGGATATTTTTTTTGTTTTTTAAACACATGGAATAAAGTTTGCCACAAACACAAGATAACACAATTAATGTTCTCACCCTGCCAATCTGGATTGAAAATGGGAATTACTAAATTTAACCAAAGAAGATTTGCTCTACTCACAGCTCAGAAGATTTCAGGAATACAAAACCAGAAGATAATTCTAGGAATCTAATCTAAAACCCACTAAAATGTTTAATTTCTCAATTTGAGATATAACATTGTTACCAATGCAAATTAGTAGTAGACATAACAGGTAATATGAAAACCCGTGGCTCACTTTCTGTCCTTGAAATTCTCCGATCATTCAAATTCATGACATGGTTATATCCTGTGTTCTACCTGAAGGCATCCAATATGTTCTCTCTTTTCCCCAGTCTATATTTTTTAAATAAACTTGTGTGCACTGAACGGGATTTCATAACCCATTTGCAGATAAACTCAAGAGTACTGCAATTGCAATTTACCATTCACTGTGCCTCCCATCTTTCTACTTTAGTCACTGATCTGTGGACCCAGGTGAAGGAAGCCAGGACAAGTCACACAGTGAGATGCAGAGTACCAGACTGCAGCACAGCGTATGTGAGCTTTAGTTGAGCCCCTTGGAGCAGAAGATGCTGCAGGAGGCCCTTCCACCCACCCCAAATCATGAGGTTTTCTTCCTCACTTTGCATGACTTCACACTCCACATGACCTGCCAGCCAGCTGCATGGATACACGCTCGTCAGCAGCCTCTGATATGTGGGTAACCAAAAGGTTGAAGGCTACGCCACTGAAAGTATTTGGAGATTGGCCATGGCTGCAGGCCAAGGCTTTCACAAGGCTGCAGTGGGCGATGCAAACAGAGAAGCACATGTGGTCAGAAAGGGGAAAGACTGAGAGCAGCAGCCTGGCTTGCTGGTATCATGGGATTAAGACCTACTTATTTTTCCGAACCATAAGATGGGGAAACTGATCTGGAGGGGTATAGGGGTGACAGTGTAAGGAAATACAGCCGCTTCTGTGACAGATATTCTTTGAGAAAATGGATTATTTTTGTACCTTTAAGGGAACAAAGGAATAAAGATAGACAGACCATCTCTAAACTCTGTAAAAATTATTCCAAAGAAGTTTGTGACGATTTCATGCTTTTAGCTTTTAAAGCAATAGTTTTCCTTTCATACAGCAGTTTTTCCATCACCCTAGTTACTTAAAGATTTTCAAAAACACATTTTTGTTCGAAGCTACATTTACCATACACTATGTTATCTTGACTGTAACGCAAAACTGCAAACTTGCTACTAAAACCTACAACACATTACCTGAAATACATTTTTAATTACTGTAGTCATCTGTATCTCTTTTTCCAAATTATTACGTATCACCTCCAGTGTTTCGATCATGTTCACACTTGCTTGTTCCTCCTTTTGTTTTTTCATTATGGTATGAACTTGCAGTAGTTTCTCTCTTCCAGCTGTTTTTAGTGCTGTTCCATTATCAGGAAAATGAAGTGTTAAGAAGTAGTTAGGTGAGCCATAGAACTAAAGATATGCTTTTTTTCCCTCAGAGACATCTAAGGCACTTCCACTGCAATAACCCTAACTTCACACTCTGTCCCTTCCCTCCAACACACCTCAAGATAATTCTTTCACCCAAGAGACAGCAAGGGCTGTGGCTATGTGGTGTCAAAGCACATTGATCCCTGGCTGCTAGCAAAACCGAAAGTACTTCGTATGCTCTTTGCATTTCCATCAGACACAGACTGTAATTTGAACATCTGCCCTACACCCTGTCGTCAGTTGTCACAACTTGTATAGTCAGTGGTGTTTAAGACCCTTTCCCCTTTTTCAAATTTGATTGAAACAAAATTCTGAAGTCATACAAGGGACATATGGACAACACCAGTGACTATTACTAGTTTTTTATAGGAAACCAGGCTAAAAACTAGACTGAATAAGATCAGTTAGGGACAGTTTATACATTGAAAGAATGCTGACAGAGCATTCCTTCCTTTATTTCCAAAGACAAAATGTTCATAGGATGTTCATTTTCCTATGAAGACAGGTATTTCATTGTCTGTGTTCATTACTGTCAACTTATACACCACTTCCTATGCATGAAACAAAAACCAGTTAAAACTGTTGGCAAACCTGGTCATATGACATTAGGAGCATTCAAAAAACATATTTACCTTATTAAGTTCTGAAGATTGACTTCGCATCTAAATTTGACCCACTCTTAACAAGCTTACTGAATACCAACATATATACTATTATGAGAGTTCTTTGTAAGTAAATCCCCTCCCCTATTCTGCAAGCATTTCATAAAGGTACAGTCTGACAAAAAATAAAATCCTTTAGGTGTTGTAGGACTTATTAAATTACTAAATGGTGTGTCATTTTCTGGGGAGCTTCCACTAAATAAACCACCACCACACGCTTTCTGAGTTTCTTGCATCTCATTCTAACATGTCAGTCTCATGCTCAAGTAGACAACACACCAGCTCATTTGTAGAGTACTTCCTACTCTTTTCAGAAGTTTTGTAACTGTGTTGAGAGTTTTGCAGTTACTTCAGATGTAAATTAATATTGCTACAAGGACTTTAAAGAATGAACTACCTTCAAATATAAAACAAAGTCAATACAGCTAACACTTACTGAGTCTTTTCCTTCTAATGTCAATCAATTTCTGCTCATTCTCACGTGCTTGCTGAAAGAAAAAAAAAAAAGTATCTCCTAAACTCTTGGCTCCAAAAAGTACTTAAAGATGCTAATTCAATCCACAAAAGCAGTTAAGGGCGGCTCTAGAAGCAGACTTTCTTACATACTCACTTTAAGTAATCATTTTGGTAATTTTACTATTAGTAGAAACCTCACCCTTTGGGCCACACATTTAGCTTCAAATTACTTGTGTGATCCTGTTACTTTCAAATTGTACTCCTGCTCATGTTAAGGTTGGTAGACCTGCACGACTGCAACAGAAACTACAACTGCCACTTACCTGCTGACATTTAATTATTCTCTGGCTGAGCGCTACTATGCGTTTCACAGTTTCCGTGATCAGTCTAAGGAAGAAAACACAGTTGCATACTTTAAGATAATTAATATGAGTCACCAGCATAAATATGTTAATCAAGGTTATTTGGATTAAACAAAAAAAATCCCCATTTCCCCTAACACCAAAATAAAGTATACTTTTTTTTTTTTTTTGACACACTGAACCTTTCATAATTCCTAATACCTTCCAAGTATTGTTGTGGGGGCCAAAGAGTGTCCTTACTTCCCTCTCAGTTTCCATAATGTTTCAGTTAAGTCTGTTTAACATTTCAAATCACAGAGCCTGGAAGGCATCAAGGAAGCCTAGCCACCTGAGAATGGCTAAGAACTGAAGCTCCTGAATTCTGGCATACGGCAGGGACATCATGGAGATGCAATGTTTTCAACTGTATTTCTGACAGAAATTAAATTTCTCATATAACACTTCACATGCACGCACCCATTAATACTGGGCAGGAAATCAAAAGCTAATTTTAAACATCTTTGAAACTTTCAGTTCTTTTTCAAAGACATTAAGCTCCTACGTGATTAATTAATGAAGGCAGCAAAGCAAAGGCAAGGCTCTGTTACAAGCCTGTAATATGTGCTCAGCTATTATAAATGCAGGTAACTCACACATTAAAGACAAAAACCTCTTAACTACAAACAGTTCTCAATAGTCAATCAAAAATTATGATCTCTTTAACCAAAGGTTGGTTAATTCAGATCCCAAATGTAAATCTACCCTGGGTATAAGAGGTCTGATCATGCTGACTCTAGCCAGAAGGTGGACAGTATATCATTCAGTCAAAACTAGAAGAAGGAAGCATGCTTTTAAAAAAGGTACAATGAAGTAATGCAGAAACGTGTCACATTAAACTGTGTAAAGTCCATTCCTTTCTAGCCATCCTTTACCCAAGAACACCTTACCGTGAGTCGTCATCATCATTTTGCTTCATTTTGTTTCTCAGGGCAAACGTAAGTTGGATCCTGCATAGTGTGGGGAAGAAACATATAACTGATAAGAACTGCTAAGAAACTGAGAGAAGTAGATTTAGCTAAGTAACAGAAGAGGTATTTCCAAGGTTCCATGTATGTCCACTTTCACATTGGGATTATATGTATGAAATACTCAGTACCTTTTAAATATCACACTTCTTAAATAATGGGGCTTAACTCTCAGGACAAGAAAGGCGTATCAATGATTATTTGCGAGAGTGACAACTCCCTCCTCTCTTGCCAAACATACCCGGACACCATTAAACCCAGAGTCTGCAGAAAGGAAGCTGGGCAAAGGCGGGAATTCAAATGAACTGCCATGTAACACAGGAGACGTATAACACCTATCAACTTCCACCTTTTCATATGCATTGGCAAAATACTGCCAAGAAATATGTTTTCTGATTTATACAGTAAGACTTTCACAATTTTGCAGGAAACTTTGGTTTTACACATTTCAACTTGTAATTTTTTTTTGTTCTCTAGAGTATCTCCATCTGCATTCTTACTGGTTAGATGGTACTAAAATCTCTCATGTTTGTAGCACACACCATACCACTTTGAAATCCTATTTTAATCAGAATAATGTATATGTGCACGTATGTGCGCACACATAAACAAACAGAAAACCTCCAAATAAACAAGAAGAAAATTCTACCTTTGCAAGGCTAACGTCTTGTTCTGTAAAGAGACGGTTACTTCCTCCATACGTCTTTCCCAATCTTCTATGTCCCTGAAAGGAAAAAAAAAACCCACCCAAATACCACAACCCCAAACAGTGTGAAGATAACAAAAAACTTAAAAGCAATGTCACACTTTTAACTTGCTCTCTACATGTCTAAAGCAAGAATTTTTCTTATAAACCACAAATTATTAAGGTCAAGAGTATTTCAGCCTGTGGAACTATGTTAGTGAATTCTAGCCATCACAAGAAAGACTGCAAGTTTAGAAGACACATCAGATACAGAACTACATTAGGAGACTGAGTAAAATATTTCTTCCCCTATATAGAACATGGACCTGTTGGAGCAAGTCCAGAGGAGGGCCACGAAGATGATCAGAGGAATGAAACACCTCTTCTGTGAAAACAGGCTGAGAGAGTTGGGCTTGTTCAGCCTGGAGAAGAGAAGGCTCCGAGGAGGCCTTATAGCAGCCTTCCAGTACATAAAGGGGGCCTACAGGAAAGCTACAGAGGGACTTTTTACAAAGGCATGTAGTGATAGGACAAGGGGTAATGGCATTAAACTGAAAGAGGGTAGGTTTAGATTACACATAAGGAAGAAATTCTTCACTGTGAGGGTGGTGAGGCATGGGAAAAGGTTGCCCAGAGAAGTTGTTGATGCCCCCTCCCTGGAAGTGTTCAAGGCCAGGTTGGATGGGGCTTTGAGCAACCTGGTCTAGTGGAAGGTGTCCTTGCCCATGGCAGGGAGGGGGGAACTAGATGATGTTTAAGGTCCCTTCCAACCCAAACCGTTCTATGATTCTCTTCATTTCCTTTATTTTCACTGGACTCCTACAAAGTACTGATTGTTAATCCAGAGATTTACTAAGAAGGAATAACTAGAAGAGAACGTCCAAGCTCAGTTCTTAACCCTTCTCCTCTTTACTTTAAAATACATAAAAAGCTTGAAGTTACGCAATGACATACTTCTTGATTTTGTTTTGGTTCTTGACGTAATCACAGCAAATTACTTGACCTGCAAAGAAAGAACGTCACTAAAAAAAGCACAACAGAGACTTCTAAATACTATCTACAGAGCATAAAGGATTAGCAGTTTGATGGCTATACTAACAAGGTATTTCTTATTCCTACCTCCAAGCCTTATCATCTCTTCTGCTCTTAGTGAGACTACACTGTCGATCAGCTGCAGCAGAGAAATAATTAGGCCTTAAAATATTTCCATTTAGCATGTTTTAGACATGCCAGAGCTGGCTCACAGCACTGCTCTATATATGCAGCTGGCTGGTTCAGTGGAAGAAGGCGTAAATAACGGAAACAAGAAGAAACACTTTAAATCAGTATTGCTGCCAAACACTTTGGCGGACTTTTGGTACGACTTCATCCCTGGTAATCAGATTCCTGAAAACCACAGTCACGTGTCAGAGTCCTGAGTCTAAAGCGAAAACCTGAGAGGAGAAAGGGCAGTGGATAACAGTCATGAGGCAGTTTTGTAAGCATGCCAACAGGTCTCCAAGAGCCGTCTAGAAAATGCAGTAAGATGCTCGGCCAAGAAAAGTATTTCACTACTATGAGGAGCGCTTTTGATAAATAACTTTTAAGAATACACCTGTCAGCCACGCCACATGCTGTATTACTGTAACATCACATTAGGAGGAAGCGCCGGGGGCGGTCGGGGGGAGTCAGAGCAGGGAGAGGCTTACGGGCATCAGCCGCCGTGCTGTACTCCGCGAGCTGCTGCTTGATCTGGTCCCTCAGCCTGGAGCAGGAGCAGAAGCAAAGCGACACCGGTCAGGCCCCGCACGGCGGGCGCTGCGGGGGCCCGGCCGCAGCCGCCGCCCCTCA